TGTGGAACTCTTTCTCAAGTCAAGTCTTGGGTAGGGCAGGTTTCCGACTCCAAACCAAAATCCAAAGGCTTAAAGCTGCCTTGAAGATTTGGAGTAAATCCATCTCTGGGAATTACTGACAAACTAAGGCCTCCCTCCTCGAATTTATTCAAGCTCGTGATAGGGCAGAGGAATCAAGACCATTGATAGAAGCTGAATTCGACTCAAGGAGTCAGTTGAAGTCGGATTACCACTCCACCCTCAAAAAAGAGGAATTGTATTGGTTCCAGAGATCTAGTAAATTGGCTAAAAGCTAGAGACCTCAATACCCAGTTCTTCCACCGGATAGCAAATTGCCGCAGGAGAGACAACACTATCTCGACCATTAAAGTGAATAACTCTTACCTGGTTCAGCCTGATGACAAAGAACAGCCTTTTATCTCTTACTTCCAAGCCCTTTACACCACCCCTGTTGTCCCCAGACCTGCAATGGCGGACTTGGATTTCCTATCTCTAACGGACGCACAGGCCATGTGGCTTGAGCATCCATTCCTGGAAGAGGAAATTCATAAAGCCCTACATGATTTAGCTGGAGACAAAGCCCCTGGTCCTGACGGATTCCCCATAGCCCCATGCAAATTATTCTGGGATACTTTTCGCTCAGACTTCTTGAGTTTCTTCGAAGAATTCTTCCACTGGGGAATTCTACATAAGGCTATTAACGCCACCTTTATAGCTCTGGTACCAAAGGTGGAAGAGGCCGAGGAGCTCAAGGACTTTCAGCCAATTAGTCTATTGAATTCCTCTTACAAAATCCTGGCCAAAGTCTTGGCTTCAAGGCTGCAGCAGGTCCTCCCTTCCATCATCTCCCAATCCCAATCTGCCTTCATCAAAGACAGACAAATCCTAGATGGAGTGTTACTAGCCCATGAATGCATTCACTCCAGGCACTTGTCAAAAAAGTCGGGACTCAATTTCAAAATTGATTGGGAGAAAGCCTACAACCATGTAGACTGGACCCTCCTGGATGAGACCATGAGAAGAATGGGTTTTAGAGATCGGAGAAGGAAATGGACGACAGGTTGTCTCTGTAACCCATTCTTTTCCATTCTCATCAATGACTCCCCTAAAGGTTTCTTTCCCTCCACTAGGGGGCTGCGCCAAGGGGACCCTCTTTCCCCCTTCCTCTTCACAATTACGGCTGAAGCCTTTAGCCGGTCCATCTCCTGCCTCTTCCAGGCAGGCCTTCTCTTGGGTTTCCAAACCTCTTGTCGAGGCCCTATAGTGTCACATCTACAGTATGCAAATGACACATTAGTCTTCTTTATGCCTCTGCACAAGAAGTTGAAAATTTGAGATTGCATCTCTAGTGCTTCCAAGAGGCCATTGGTTTCAAAGTTAATATGGAAAAATCTACAATGATGGGGGTCCTCATATCCACTGCTGACATTAAGGATTTGATTTCGACATGGGAATGCTTAGTGGACGAACTCCCCACTGTGTATCTTGGTTTGCCCCTAGGCCCTGGCGAACCCAAAATGGGCACTAAGGTTGACCGGTGCCTAGGGGGTTGGAAAGGCAGATACCTTTCGCAGGGAGGTTGTTCCACCCTAATAAAAGCAACTCTAGCCAATGCTCTGGTCTACCTTATGTCATTCTTCCAAAGGCCAATCTCTGTGGCAAACCGGTAGGATCAACTAATGAGAAATTCTCAATGGTCGGGCCAAGTGGAGCAATCTAAGTTCACCTAATCTCTTGGGATAAAGTCTGCCTACCAAACCAGCAGGGGGGCCTAGGAATCAAGATACTTAGAAAACATAATCAGGCCTTCCTAGGTAAATGGTGGTGGCACCTCGCAACCCAGACGGACTCCCTTTAGGTTCAAGTCTTTTGCCACAAATACAAGATCGCCGAGGGTACATGGGTGCCAAAGAAGAGAAATATCAACAAGGCCTCAAGAGCGTGGAAATCTTTCACGCCCTCCCTCTCCTTCTTCAGGAATTCATTTGTTTCCACTCAAGGGAGAACACAAGAGTGCGCTTTTGGTCCGATACCTGGCTTGGACACACTCCCATTAGGGAACTGTACCCTTCCCTCTACTCCATTACCTCGAACAAAGAAGCAACAGTCGCTGAAGCAATGACAGTGGTGGGAAACTGAAGGGAGTGGAACCCTTCCTTCAAAAGGAATCTCTCAGATGAGGAAGTCTCACACTTCCATTCTCTCTCCACTACTCTTCAAAACTCTTTCATTCCCACCCATGGGACGGATCAGTTGGTTTGGTCTCTCACTCCTTCTAGTACTTTCAGGATGGCATCTCTCTACAAAAGACTTATACAACTACCCACTTTCCCTCTTAATCCCCCTTCGGTGTTATCAAAGGTGTGGTGCACTATCGCACCTCCCAAAGTGAAGTGTTTCAACTGGATAGCAGGATCTCAGAGGGCCCTTACGGTGGATCAGCTTCAAAAAAGAGGAATTCCAATTCCCAACAGATGTGCCCTATGTCTCTGTGAAGAAGAATCTAACCCACATATTTTCCTCCATTGCAACATGGCTCACGGCCTTTAGGGTCAAATGTTGCAGCTCTGTGGAGTCCAATGGGTCATGGCAGCATCTGTCAAGCATTTGTTATCTCTTTACCCCGTCCTTCACTGGCCAAAGGCAGGAAGAACAATTTGGAAAGCTGCAGTGGCAGCTATTATTTGGACAATCTGGAATGAGAGGAATTCTAAGATTTTACAAGGAAAACCTACCGAAAGTCCAGCCTTGTTCCATAAAGTTACATCCTTAGTAACTTTCTGGGCTTCCAATCACCGCATCTTTGCAGGATTCCCCGCTAATACTTTCCTCTACAACTGGAAAAATATTATGCTCCACCGTCCTCGCAGGGCCCAAAGACCCCATGAATGGCCAACCCCCACCCGAGGTACCATTAAACTAAACTTCAACAAGCGCTCCTTGGGGAACCCTGGCAATGCCGGAGTGGGAGGAGTGTTCAAGGACCACCGCCGGGCAATTTTGTTTATGTACTCCGAATACCTGGGCATCCAAGACTCTCAGCATGTTGAGGCAATGGCCCTTCTTTTGAGGCTGAAAAGCTTCAATTTGTCCTGGGGGCAAAATTTTACTATGGAAGGGGACGCCAGTAACATCATTTCTTGGGCTTTAGGGGGCTCCTCCCCTCTCTGGTATTTTGCTCCCATTTTTTATGAGATCGCTGACATTTGTTGGGATATGGACGTCTCTTGGACGTATATCTTGAGGACGTCAAACAACTTGGCAGATCTTCTGGCAAAGGATGAGGCCAGAGCTCACACTGAAGCCACAAAAGGATAAAGAAGCAGCAGCTCTCGGCCACCTAATTTTGACATATATCACACAATTTTTGTACAAAGGGGCAATTTTATAAGCCTATTTTTTGTAATATCATTGTATATCTTGTACCGTCAAGGGCTGTACTCTTAATTTTTTGTATAGGGTTGATTGACAACCTCGTACGAGGTGTCCCATTGGGTTAGGGAGACTCGATTTAAATACCTATGCATAAACTTTCTTAATGAAACAGTTTAACTTTTATCAAAAAATAATAATAATCCCCCGATTACATTTAGAAGGGCAGGTGCCAAGGTTTTCCCTTAGAAAAAAAAGTTTTCTACAAACTCAGGTAAATCTACAAAAGACTCATAAAGGCTATTATAGGAGTCCGCTGGGTCCTGAGCCCAGGCCAAGCCGTACCTATCTTGTCTGAAACTTAACCAAGTCTTATTAAAAGACAAATGCATTTTGTTATGAATATCCAAGTTTTCTGAGATAAGACTCCATGGTTCGAATCCACTTGGGACACAGCAAATTCCAAGTCTTATTAACAAATGCATTTTGTTATGAATATCCAAGTTTTCTGAGATAAGACTCCAGGGTTTGAGTCCACTTGGGATGCAGCTAATTCTGAGCAGAGTCTAAAATTTTTAAATGTTGGCTCAATCAGAAAAGGAAACTCCATGAAATGAAACCAAAATACAAAATAAAGTTTGAAGAGAAACAAAGGATCAGTATAAAAAAAGTGAAATCTCTTGTTTTCAAAAAAGAATATCCAGAAATAAGATGACCGATCTTCAATTTTCTGCAACAGTGATATGTTTTGAATCTCATGTTTTGGATATAACATCTAAAAAGAATCTCAAGATTGGTCACTGTTGTGAAATCAGAAAGCCTCATTGTTGTTTACACCTTTACCAAAGTTTGTAACTGATTGATCATTTTTATGGGAAGACAGATTACATTATTGCCCTGATACAATGTTAGGATGTTGGTGTTGATGATGCTAAGATTTACGAACTGGCACTAAGATTTATGGTTCTTAACTAACGGTACTTTGTCTTGAAACATATATACATTTACAAGCAGTTTGAATACATTTACAAAGCTAGGTCGAAAAATATAAAAACTTCATGTGAAAACTACAGTGAAATAATTAATTATGATAAGTGACCAATTACAAGGAAAGAATGATGGATACTTTTGAGTATATCCACAGACAAACATGAATAACTGCATGTACGATAGCTAGCAAATAAGACTAATAGACCAAGATGGTGGGTGGCTTGATATGATAAAACTTTTAAAGGGAGAATTACTACCATTGTTGGAATCCACAGACTATGATAAATAATTACAGAAATATTGAAGCCAGATGATCCATGAGAATGAGTATTCTGTTCCTCAATAAAATAAAAATAGGAAATAAAGGAAAATAAGTAAACTAACAATCAGGTACAAAAGTACTAATGATCCTTTGGCAATCACAAAAGCTTTAAGGTAAAAAAGAAAACACAAGAGGTGGACATAGTATAACTTTGTCAATTCTTTCGCAATAAACATAGCCACCATCCCTAAACAATGCTGTAGTAATTTTCTTCTGATGGGCCTTCTAGGTAGCTGTGCAAATAGCCTAGGCATACTCAAAAAACACCCTCCCTTAAAGAAAAATAGCTTCCTGATATATCCCTAGACAAACAGACCATATCAAGTCACAAGGCAATCCCTCAACATGTATGCATATTTATGACATCTCATTTTGTAAATGGAAAGGCACCACCAATCCCTAAGTGTTTGTAACAGGAAAAAACAATTACTGATGGATCTGCTCACAGTTATTCTAAATAACCAAATGATGAACAGCTCAATTTCTCTTCCATCCTTACTTCAGCCATTAGACCAATGACGATATGCCATTTAAATAGTGGTGAGCAGCTCTAAAGGGGGTAAGAAAATGTAATGGTTCGAGAGATGGGAAAGGAGAAAACAACACTTGAATATAAACCTTTAGTCTGGACTGAGCTTCTTAGGCTGATGAGTAGCATCTTGTTCAATGCTTGACTGGCTAAGGATGAATGTGCCCAAAACCATAAGGAAAGCACCCGCAAACCACTGCAAAATTATGGAACTTGCATCATATAAAAGAAAGCAATAAAATAAGAACATTCGACTCTTTTTGTATAAGAATGTAATCTAAAGATATAATGGGACTTTTTCACTTGGAGAGCAGCTGGTTAACCTGGGAAGACAATTGTTCCTCGAAAAACAAGTAGCCTGCAAAACCCGAAGAGAGAAAGTTCGTAGCAAAGTTTACGACTGTAGCTTGTAATGATGAAAGAGCTTTGAGGCTATTGACATAACTGGCCCACATGATCACATTGAAAAAAACAACCAAGGCATATTTGACACACTGCCATCTCCAGTCGAGCTGTAACAAGTCTGAATATTAAGTATAGCTCACAAAAAATAATAGAGAAAAACAGAAGTTTAATGAAGTTCACAAGACAGACATTGTGAGTCATCACTAAATAGATAGAACCCTGAGTTACCCAACAAAACCAAGAAACTGTTGATATGTTCAATAATCAAGGCGAAGAAGATACCAGGATGCTACTTTTGTCTTTATGAAAATAGTCTTTCAAATACTATGCCAGCTGATGTACATCATATGTGGAGAAAACATGCATTAAAGAAGGCTCATAATTTAAAGGTCAAATTAAAACTATGGATTTACGACAAATATATTAGACGATCAGAAATATAGGTTCCTCGCATATTTCCATAGGTAGGAGATAAACCCTTGTTCCTTTTCCCATGGTAATGATTCTTTCTGTTTATAACTACATAACCTCAAAACTTCAAAAAACCCAAGCACAATTCCCACCACCCCAAACTCTCTACCGAAAGATGAACCCAGGACAATTAGATTTCTTTTATAAACCATTAATTTAGTCAGGTAGAAGACATGGTTTTAAGTATGATTGAAGGTCAAACAAAATGAATCTGATAGTATCCACATCAACCATGAAATATAAAAAAAAAAAAGGTGCATGAATTCCCAAATATCTCAATGGAGTATTATAACAGCAGCAGAAACATAACAAAACTCTTAAGCTTAGATTAGTGACAGAGCTGAATTTCTACAACAACCTCTAATATGATTTCTACAGAATAGCAAACCAGACTCTAGTTCAAGGCTTTAGAGACAAATGTGGGTTAAGCAACCATAAAACCTTCCATTAGTGGCAATTACAGAACTAACAACAGCCAATTCAATTTTAGCAGTACTAGATCAAAGTCATCGAACTTGGCATCGTTTATTCAATAATGGTTAGAAACTCAGAGCAACTACATTTTGGAAATCGTTGCAGCCCTTCCGGTTCCCGTTATATTGGGAATCGGCCGACTCTCTCCTTGAACCGGCCGGCTCTCTGACAGAACCGGCATGTCTTATCAAGAATCGGCCAGTTCTGTCAAAACAAAACCGGTCTAAAACGGTCGCCTTTTTTTTCAGAAATTAGTGCAATTTAAAAAAAAATTAAAAAGAACAAGAGCAGTCCATCCCTTTTTTTTTTTGGAAGTCGTGTAATCACTAACATCACCCCACATGTACCTCCCAATCCTATGTGAGAATAGCCAAGCAACTTGCACACGTGGCTAACGCGTACACTCAAGTGTATGCCTAAGGCTTTTATAAAGCCTTTGGCTTCGTGAAATCCCCAATGTGGGTCTCTTTTTTTTTTGCTCCTTACTTCTTACACCATGCACTATTTACCACAATCTAATTACACGCTTAACTATGTATCCCTTCTCCTCAAAGTTAACCATAGTTATATATTGCATGTACTATAAAACTCTCTCTCTCTCTCCCCTCCAACTTGGCCTCTCTCTCTCTACAAAGATTGTTACATTAATAATTCTACTAAAATTAGTTTAATTAAATTCTCTCAACTAGGTACTACAAACAAATAATTCCACAAAAATTCTCTTTCTACTAACAACCTCTTCCATTAAATTTGTTCCACATAGCTTCTTTCAAAAATCAAAATTCCTAATTTAATACAATAATAAAATAAATAAATTGAGTTAGAGATATTCATTTGAATGTAATAGACAACAAACACTCAACATGATATAGGTTCTCAGTATTTACATATTTTCTTCTCTCTCCCTATCTTAACTCCTGTTGTCTGAGCACCCAATTTGTGGGATTGCCGTCTTTAGGATTAGAAAGAAATGTAATTTTTTACTCTTTTAATGCAGCTAACCTTTTTCTCAAAAAAATAATAAAATAATGAAAAACGCAATTGCCACTATTTCTTTAAGAAACCTAAAAACCGAGATTTTTGAGGAATTAAAGTGCTTTTTAACAAAAAAATAGGCCGAAACCGATTTTGGGGTGGCCGATCCAGGTCACCAATCCGTTTTTTTTAACCTTGCATTGGATGATGATTGTTGGAAACGCAACAATCACTTGCCTTGTGAACAGTCACAATAACAGCCGCTATTCACTCTTTAAAAGGGGATTTTTACTCCTCTTTGAACAACCTTTTTACTAATTCGAAATCTCTTTCTATCTCAATATTCTTTTACAGTCTTTACCTCTCTGAAAACAAAAAAACGAGCCACTTTCTCTCTAAATTCAGGTAACTCTTGTACTAAGTAAACTTGCCTACACTATGCAAATTTAGGCGAGTATTATTAGTGATTTTTTGTTTACAAATATCCCTAGGACTGATTTTTCCAGGTTAATTTTGCTCATTGTTATTCCATAGTAAGGGGACAAATTACAGTCTTGAGAGAGCACATAGCATGGCAGTACATGCTACACCGAGTGGAGTATTACCCATTGGATGAAATGTAAAATCTTGTAATTTTAAGTTTGTGTGCCCTTAGAGTGAGAGTGGTTTTATGGCCGATGATTTTGGCTAGCTGTTTGTACTAGTTGTCCATGGTACTCAACTACTTCGTCACAGAGTGAGCACCTAGTTGTTGCCATCCCCTGGCGTAAATCCTAGGAGGACTGATTTTGCATCCTCTCATCTCCTGCTTTTCTACCTCCTCTGTGGTATACTCATCCACAGGTACCTATAGTACACTCATCTGCAGGTAATCCCCCTTATATAAATAAAAAACAAAAAAATCCAAAAGGGCTCTATCTATCTATCTCTCTAATATTTCCTCCAAGAAATCTCAAAACAGATTTGCCTTTCTCATCTCCTTTTAATCTCTCCTTCTTTCTCTCTCATCAAAAGAAAATCATGAAATCAGTCATTGTTTTTGTTATCTCTTCCTCTATTTTTATTTGTTGCTGAGAAAGTTATTGGCTAAATTTTTGCTTATTGTCTCTCTTTATGATCTCTTGCACCCTCTCCCCTCAATTGGTAGGGAAAAAAAATTAAAATTGAAATGGTAACATATATTTCAACCATTATATCAATATCCGACAACTAAGAGTATAACCTAAACTACTGTTCATTTTTTAGGTACAACCTTTTAATTGATTTATCCTATATATATAAGGTTGACACCTTATAATGTAGAATTAAGGTGCACCTCAAAAATCCATACGTAAAGGCTATTTTAACGTTGGAAACCATTTAATTGATCATCTCGACATTGATGCAAAGAAAAAAATAAAAAAAAATTATTATTATTAGTTTTTTGAGTTTATCTTTTAACGCAATAATAGGAGGTGTGCAAGGATAATTAGGTGGGTATATTTTGATCAATTGGTTGGTTAGTTTATTAATGTAAATAGGATAAGGTTAAATCTAATGGGAGTTTTATCTTTTCAACAATAAGAAGGCTTTTGAAAAAACGTGGCTATGAAGCAAATCTTTTTAGTACGTGACGTTAAGAGACAGGGATGAGAGAGAAAATAGGTTAAAAGAGAGAAAATAGGAAGGAGAGATAAAATAAAAAAGTGTTTATCTTCTTTTCAGTCTATTTAAAGGGAGATAACCCTGCATTGTAAATCAATGAAAGTGAATTAGTTGAATACAATTTGGTCTAATGAAGATATTGTTTTCGGTGGATTCCCTTGCAGACCTTTGAGAGAAGGTATATTCTCTCAATCTTTTTTTGTTATTTTTTCTGGTTTTATTTTCTCCCTGCATCAATTGGTATCAGTGCAAGTCAGATCCAGAGAGCAAGTTAGATCCATAAGCAAAATTAGATCCAGAGATATCCAATTGTTTTGCAAGCTAATCCTGCTCCTGCTATGGATGATCATTGGATACAGGCCATAGAAAATTTGACTAAAGCCCTATAGGATTTTCGAACTGAATTATGTGAGAAGAATTAGGAGATGAGGATGCAACGGTTGGATCATAGATTCTAGCGGTTAGAGAACAATCTTCATCACGAAGAAGGTGCTCGCAGCCACATCCATCTTGTGGCAGTAATTCCATGACAAACCCAGAGTGTTAATTTCAAGCGCAACGAAGAAATTTATAGGCCAAATCCGTGTCCAGTAAAGCGACCATGAGATTTTAGTATTAAAATCAATCTCCCAAAATTTCATGGTCAAGGGTGTTCATCGATTTCATAAGGTGCATCTTAGGAGCTGGACCCATTCTTAGTTAGAAATAATCATAATCAGCCCAAGCTTGTATTCAACAATTACTCTTGGAACACAGTCACAGGCAAAGAGTCTTACATTAGTCTTAAAGAAATTGAAGAAGAGGTGCCGAGACGCATGGTGAGATTACATCACCAATTAGCAGATGGTTATTGGCTTCAAGCTCGAGGTTAAGCTTCTCCCAACCCCGGGAGAATGATGCAGAGAAAAAAATGAAAATAAATTATTATTATTAGTTTTTTTGAGTTTATCTTTTAGCTCAAGCTCGAGGTTAAGCTTCTCCCAACCCCGGGAGAATGATGCAGAGAAAAAAATGAAAATAAATTATTATTATTAGTATTTTTGAGTTTATCTTTTAACTCAAGAATATGAGGTGGACAAGGATAATTAGGTGGGTATATTTTGTGTGTGAATTAATATTGATCAATTGGTTGGTTAGTTTATGAACATAAATAGGATAAGGTTAAATCTAAGGGGAGTTTTATCTTTTCAACAATAGGAAGGCTTTGGATAAAACATGGCTATGAAGCAAATCTTTTTAGTACGTGACATTAAGAGATAGGGATGAGAGAGAAAATAGGTTAAGAGAGAGAAAATAAAGAGGAGAGAAAATGGAACAGTGTTTATCTTCTTTTTAGTCTATTTAGAGGGAGATATCCCTTCATTGTAAATCGGTGAAAGTGAATGAGTTGAATAGAATTTGGTATCGTGAAGAGATTGTTTTGGGGTGGATTCGCTTGTAGCCCTTTGAGAGAGGGTATATTCATTTTTTTTGTTATTTTATTGGACATCAACACATATGGATATGGGAAAAAAAAAAATTCTATGTCCCAAAAATAGTACATCATGCAACACATTATCTAGACCGTCCACTATCAAGATTTCCATGTGTTTATATATCTACTTGATTTGAACCATTCTAGGAATTTAAAATTGTATAATTAGAGATAAATTAGATTCTCATGCCATCCAAAAAATCTGAAAATGAAACAAATAGAAGATCAAATCAACAATTCTTGTTGAATTTTTCAAAATGAAACAAACAGAATATAGAATCATGGAGAATACCATGAGAATTTAGTGACTTGGGATTGCACACCTAAGGGGAATAAATTCAACAAGAAAATAAAAATAATCTATAAAGTTCATCCTTGTACTAATATAGCAAAAGCTCCTCTGTCAAAGCATGAATCGAACATAAATACTTCAAGCCCAATATGAAAAAAGTCATATAAAAGCAATAAAGAAAACCATACCAAGACAGATACGATAACCTAAAGAGGAAAAAGGAAAAAGCGATGGAGACCTGAGAATGAAAGGATTTAGCAGCAATGGCGGCCATGGCCGCGTTGAGCCCTGCGGAGAATGCCCATCCTACCCCTCTTCCTGACATTGACGAGGGATGACAATGAACTCTGTTGAGTATTGAGTGGAAAGACACTACTCAGACCCTCTCGATGTTGCTGCTGCAACATTATTCTGTCTGCTGCTTATTACCTTCGACACCCTGCCATTGTTTATTGGGGCGTTTTGCAGCCGGAAGCTCGAATTAAAATGGGGAATTTTCAGTTCTGGAATCGATTACTTTGCAATCGCAAATACGGTTTCCGGGGCGTTTACATTGTCAAATTGAATATTTTGGACATTATAGAAGTATTTAGGAAAAATTATGTATATATCCATTATAGTAGGTGATATTACAGAACTGCCTATTAATTTTTGTTATTATTATATTTTTGTTATTATTATTATTACATGTCATAATACAAATTTAAAAAAACATATAATTTTACCCTTTTTAATCAATGGATTTTTTGATGGTTTAACAACCCAAATCAAGCCAATTTTGGTTTTTGAAAAACCAAAAATTCAAAACTTTCAATTGTTGAAGAACTGCTTCAAGAACCAAAATTTTTGATGGTTTAACAACTGAAATCAGGCCAAGTTTGGTTTTTGAAAAATCAAAAATTCAAAACTTTCAGTTGTTGATGAACTGCTTCAAGAACCAAAATTTTTTTCATAGGTACTCTACATATTTTTGTAGGTACTCTGTGTATTTTCTCTCTATGGATTTTCCCTTTTTCAGTTGTGGAACAACTAAATTCAATGGATTTTCTGTTGTTCAACCACCACTGAAATCCTCTATACCTTTCTTTCACCCATGCTTTACTTGTCTTTTCCATTTAAACTCTTCTTGATGTTTATCCACATAGATTAGTCATTATAGAAAGATAATGGATAAACATAAGAAAAAGTTTAAACCTGAAGGTATTTAAACTTTTCTCGATGTTTATCGAGGTAGATTAGTCATTGTAGAGAGATAATGGATAAACATAAAGAAAAGATTAAAATGATAAACATAAGGAAAAGTTTAAACGGATAAACATAAAGAAAAATTTAGACCCTAAGGTAAAGAGAGAGAGAATAGATAAACATAGAAAGAGTTTAAACCCACCCAATCTATAGAGAGAGAAAATAGATAAACATAGGGGAGAGTTTATGAAACCCTAAGGTAGAGAGAGAGAATGGATAAACATAAAAAGGGTTTAAACCCACCCAATCTAAGGTAGATAGAGAAAATAGATAAACATAGAGGAGAGTTTATGAAAGAAAGACCTATGTGATCTTTTATTGGGGAATGCATTTTATTTTATTTTTTTCTTCACCCCTTTCTTTTGGCAAAAGATCACTTACATGTGGTTTTTATTATAATAAGATAAATTTCAAAATAAAATCAACATAACAATAAAACCAATATCTTAACAACTTGATGCCATTGAAACAATTATGCACTATGATTGAGAATAAAAAATAAGATATCAAGAAACAAAAGGAAGAGTGCCGGAGGTTACGTCAACTGGGCTTATTACACCCGACACTTAGTCACCACCATCCGATGGCATGGGATCAACGATCTAGCTTCAATCTCAAACCGAGAAAGCAAATTTCGACCAAGCCACACCAATGGAACATGAACCCTTTTGATCACAAACTTAAACCCTAAGTGAATTCTCTTAGCAACCTAATTTGAGAGAGATGAATTCTCTTTTTGCTAAACCCTAAAACCCTTAGCTATAAATCTATATTTTAGAGATAGGAGAGAGAACTCTATAACTTAAACCCTTAGGTTCTTTTACAATGTGGGAGAGAGAGATCACATATGAGAGAGAAAAACTTTCTTAAGAGAGAGAGATAGAAAAATAAGGTGTGTAGAGAATTTGGGTAGAAACAATATATTTTTTTATAGGATTAAACAAGATTAGGGTTTCTTAGATTTTCCTTGGCTTGCTTATTCTTGTGAGATTGAACATAGATCGTCGATCAAGGGTGACTTGTGGGGTGAGAAATCTGAGCCGTCCATTCCGTAGATGGGCCATCAACATTATGGAAGGTGCATGGACCATTATCCCCA